TATATATATGTTACCGGCCAAACCCGATTTCAGGACAAACTAGTTTTGCCTAGGCTAAACTAGTTCTTCCTATAAGCGTTAGGATTAACTAGTATAGCCTAGTTCAAACTAATTTGTCCTAAGCCCGATAGGACAAACCAGTTTAGGCTAGGACAAACTAGTTGATCCTGATATAAATACGCACACTCTAGGATAAACTGGTATGACCTAGTCATAATATGATTATTGCGTCTATTAAAAAAAAACAATGTGACTGCCTCGTTGGCTGAGTGGTCGCAGTGCGATTGCCGGGCAAAGGGTCTCGGGTTCGATTCCCGGGCAAAGTATTAGTTATTTTATTTATTGAATATGCTTCATGCACAAAATGTACAAATACTTAATGCCGCAGGCGTTTTCTACCAGTCTGACCTTTGGGTGATGCAGAGAAGAGTAAATGGTAGGTGCAATTACTGGGTATTTTTTTTTAAACGTTGCCCCACACTAGGATTTTCTCCTGTGTCGTGGGTGTGTTTACAAACATACAAGTGCACATACACATGACACCCAGACCCGGAACAACAACTTGTGGATCGCACAAAGTGTTGTTCCGTGCGGGAATCGAACCCGCGACACGTCGCACGTTTTTTTTTAAATCTCAGTAGTACCACAGACTCTGGAATTATGCCCGGTATATGGCAATAGGCTCACCCCCTATTACATGGGACTCGTAACATAAATAGTGAAAAGTGGCATAATGTGCACCGCTGCCTACCCCTTCGGGGATAAGAAGCGTGATGTTATGTGATAAAAAACAGTATTATTTGTTATAGTACCTATGATCGTTTGTATTGCCAATTATTATCTATAACTTGTAGCGACGAATCATTATGATTTTATATTAATAACAATTTAAATCATTATTGCGTCTTTTAAAAAACAATTATTATTTGTTATAGCATGATTGTTCGCATAATAACTAATTAACCATAAGTTTTAACGACGAATCATTATAGTTTAATAAAAATGATATTTTTTCAATTACGCAGTATTTTATTCAATTTATCTATTTATTTCGACTTTCTAGTTATATTAGAATGTTTAGACTAGGCCATACCAGTTAATCCTAGAGTATGCGTATTTATATTAGGATCAACTAGTTTGTCCTAGCTTAAACTGGTTTATCCTATCGGGCTTAGGACAAATTGAACTAGGCTATACTAGTTAATCCTAACGCGTATAGGAAGAACTACTTTAGCCTAGGCAAAACTAGTTTGTCCTGAAATCGGGTTTGGCCGGTAACATATATACTTATTGGTTCTCTGCCAGCAAAAACAATATTTAAGATTCATTGATATAGTCACACGTTAAGAAAAAATAAAAATAAGTATATTGATTAAATATTAAGTATCACATTTATTTTCATATCACATTGTAATCAAACGAAATTGAACTAGAAGTAACAAAATAATAAAAACATTATTATTATTGGCACATTGCCTTCACAATAAGGAATGCAAATTAACAATACCAAACTGATAAATGCTACGTATCTTTATGGAAGAAGTATCTTATTGTTTTAAAATTATACATAGATGATTGTCATACAACAATCATATCAGCATGGATAACAACAGACAATATACCAAAAGAACTGTTACTCGCATCAAATTGTATTATTACAATAGAGTTTTAACAAAAACAGGCAGTAAGTGACTAAAAAATTAACACTTTATCAATAAACATTTAGTTTCTACAAAGATCACTTCAAACAGATATCTAAATGAGCATTCATGTCATCGATCTCCATCATTTCCATACAACAGGGACAAGGAGTCTTAGTTCCTGTAGCATTCAGCACCTGGGTCTCATCAAATATGTCATCGTCTTCATCATCTATAAGTATTGTTGTATTATTACTATAGCTTGTACTCGCCCCTTCGTCAGGTATCGTAGAATTATTGTCAAAGAAAGTTAAACATTCCTCTAAATGCTCCTCTACTGGTTTATCAAATTTCACCCCACAGCACGGACATATTTGCTCAATTTCTTTTTCTTTACTTGGCCCTGCTTTTGGTTCATCAACAACCTCTTCTACTTTTTTCATTTTGGTTTCGTTTGACAAATAATCTCCTCTTTCTTTGGTAATGAAACTATCTGATCTTCTTCTATTGTTATCTTTAACATCTTGTATCACATTGTTTATATCCACAGATTGTAATGTAGCTTGTGATTCAGTCTTTCTCTTACCTTTTGTATTTACAGAATTGGTATCTTGGTGTAGCCAAGTCAAATCTATAAGCTCAGGTTTCACACTAACTTTTGCAGGTACACTATCTATTCTACTTGTACTAGGTTTAATGACTTGTTCTTCTACTATTTCATCCTTACTCAGTTTCTCAATTATATCCTTGTTCAAGCATTCATCCAAATGCTTATTAATGTCTTCATTACTGAATTTTGCATTGCATATAGGACAGGCAACTAAATCAACTTTAACATGAACAGCAATTAACTTTTTACTATCATTGGATTGTGTCAATTTATAATCTTCACCATACAAGTCTTTTAGGATTGATGTTGCATTCATGTGATCATTAATTTTCTTAATTTTTGCTGGAGGTTCAATATCAGTGTCTGCTTTATGCTTTTTACTGTTAACATCTACAACTTGATTAACAGCCTTATTAGATTTAGTACCAGTCTCTACAACTTTAACTTTTTTTTGAAGTACTGGACTAGAGTTTGTCTTTGAGGGTATTTGTTTGTTAGCCCATATATTTCTTACTGTTTCAGTAACATTGTCAGTGTTTTGAGGCCTTCCTGGAATTGTTTGACCACTACCAGTGAACACTGGTATGGGAGGTACAGGTGCTACAGGTTTTGTTGGAGGTTTTACTGAAGTGGGATTGAACACAACTCCTTTTTTACTTACTACTAGAGTACTCGAGCTATTTGACCTTACATTATTATTAGTCTTGCTATTAGTGGAATCTTTCAGAACAGGTTTACTATTACTAGAAGAATTTGGTATGTTATTAATAGTTTTTATATTACTTGTGATATATCTTGTAATGTCTGCATTTGGTTTAGTAACCGGAGCTGCCTTGCCTCTAGTCTTTTTCTCTGGCTCCTTGATTTTGATGAAGGTACCACCACATTTTCTCTTGTGGTCATTCCACCAGTAGTCATTGGGTCCTGGAGCCCTATTCATGGAGCGCCTTACTATACCAAAATGGGGTCTTACAGTTTGACAACGGCCATTACATCGCCACCAGTGAGTTTGGTAAAGTTTGACCTGGAATAAAAGGATAATATATTTTATGAAAAACAAAATTTGATAATAATATCACAAATATTATGATCAAGTACCCCCATCACTTGTTACTGAATCAGAATTCTCATTAGATAAGCAGAAATGACAGAGAATAAACTTTAACATTAATTTACCTCATCATGAAAACTGTGGTAGATGCTAATATTCAGGCCTGCAGATTTGTTGATCCGGTGCATATGTGCCTGAAAGTTAGGTCCGTGGCCATCTCTGTCTTGGTCTCTATTGGTAACAAATAAGAAGGCATGTATCATTTCATGAAGCAGGGTCTCGATGAGATCCTTGCGAGGCCGCAGTTTTAGTAGAGGTTCACTCAGAGCAATGTCACAGAGACCACCCCTGCCTTCGTACCTGCAAGTTAAATACATATGTCAAACATGATAAAAAATCTATGAAGATGCCTGAAAAAATTTAACTAGAACTGGAGCAGATAAAAGGGCGGTTGAGAGTATCTTAGGGGTTTTTATTAACAGTTATGACTCAACTTAGGTCCAGCTGTTTTTAACAAATCACTAGTTCATTTTTTAAACAAATTAAATGTACTTACGAGCAAATGCCAGCACAGGAGTACATTCGTTTACTCCATCTAACAACAGCCCTGCTAGCCAGTTTTGTCCAGAAAAACATTTTATCAAAGTGTATAAACAATGTGTGGACGTTTGGTGTTGGGTCCATAAGTTCCAGCTCAGGGTCCCCTAGATTGATCATTGTTTGCATGTTGAGTTATGAAATAATAACTTATAATAAAATAAAATAAAAGTAATAGCTAACTAAAGTGATAAATGATACCCAACTGGGCGAATAATATTTTCATTGTACGAATTTTCAAATATTTTGACATTTGACAGGTTTCATTGTCAGTTTTAGTGAATTTGACAGTTGCGGTGCGTTCCGTTACATACGCGAATAATTTATTTGGATAATTTATTATTTTTATTTTGGTTATAAAAAATACATTTTCTCATAACAACAAAAGTTTAATTAATCATACGAATCACAAAACAAGGAGTATGTATCACTGTTCATCCAAAACAGTATTATATTCATATTTTCATGAATTTTTATTTTTTGTTGTTGCAGCAATGTTGTCAGGTACAAAACAAAACTACTAAATGGTAACTATTTATTTTTAGGCTTGTGAGAAAAAAGTGCAACCGGGAATTACGAAACTTACGTGGACTTCTACAATGTCCGATGCATACATTGCAGATTGTGTTATGCAAATTGGAGAAGTAAGTAAATCTTCACTAATTTTTATTGATCTCTGAAATTTACGCGTTGTTGTTACTACCCGACATTCTATTTCAACTGCCTACTGAAAGCAATATTTTTTCTTTTTCAGCTTCAAGATTTCCTAACTACATACAAAAATTGTAATGTTAATTTAGTAAAAATTATGGAAAAGATTTGTGATACTCCTTTCGTGGAGTTTGATATTTATAACGTTTTTGATATTAAAGCTCTTAGGGCCAAAATACGGCAAATGGAGAGTACAGCTATGGATTCCGTATTAGACATGTATAAATTAATAGTGATTTACCTCGTCATAGTTTATGAAGGCTTCGAAGCTTATATTACTCAGGTAAATTCAATAAACTGTATTAAATTTCACATCATTATCAAAATAACATTTTTATCAGACTAATGTATACAATAAAATAAAATCTCTATCATTTTCGCAAAGATGGCAGAACACTGGATTAAATATGTTAGAAGATTTGATATTCTTTTAGAAGACGCTTTGAGGTTGGGTATAAAATCAACAATGCAAAATATGTATAAGTGTGTACATGGAGATGGTAAGTCATGTTAATCATAGTTGACTATTTTCAATATTTAAGGACTTAAAATATACCTAATTATATACTTCAACTAGCTACTCTTACGCGGTTTTACTCTTATCGGTTAACGATCAACTCCGATTAAATATAACGTGATAATATAGTTGATATAGCCTATAGCCTTTTTAAATAAATGGACTATCCAATAGAAAAAAAAATCAATTCGGACCAGGGGGCATATTCTTCTTCTCTGTCGTTTCGCTCTTGGCAGAGCCGTCGTGGTCACGTTGAGGCGGCCGTATTTGTGTTGGAGGCCGATACAGCTTTCCTCACATATGGCATATATGGTATAGGGGCATATGCTTGAATTCAATTCCGATCGATCGACATTGATATTGTGAAATTTCATATTCTTGAGCTGCCACAATAGCGCTTATTGCGTGGATATTTAATGAAGTACTTAAATTGTATTTCGGATGGCTTTATATTCTGTACTTTGTCGCGGAGAACCTGGCGGGTAACCGGGGCTCCGGTTCGACGTGCAGGAGAAGGAACGGGGTGGTTTTTAGTCAGTAAGAGTCTGACACTCCCTTCCGCCTCACCCAGGCGGGAGCAGTCATTCGATGATTTTCCCCCCTGAAAAAAAAAATCTGTACTTTGTATGCTATTTCAACAGCTACGATAGGGGTTTTAAAGTGTTGACATTGAATGATTATTGAGATTTATTGGATTGAAATTGCATTGACATTGAAATTGGTTTCAAGAATACGCGCCTAATATTTCCGGAGCTTAGGGCGTTCAAACAAACAAACTAATTCTTCTACTTTATATATAAGATAAGAAGTATTAAATTTCATAATATCTACTATTTCAGGAACAATGGCACCATCACCCTTGTTGAAAATGGATCTCTACCTTGTTGGGAAGAATATAACTTATATACCTTCAAAAATAGAAATCCAAGATACATTCACGACAGTTCTTGAAGAAATAGTCCATATATTAAGTTCAATTCCTCGTTTGTACGAAAAATTTTCGCTACCTTCTGGTGGCTTACGAAAGTTTTTTGAAGTAATAGCTACGGATCAAGATTGTAATAAATTGCAGAAATTAATTAACGAGGGTAAACTCAGGTTTTATTTTGCTCACATTTTAGACTTCTATGTAATGTTTTTATTTAAAAAGTATATTCAGATTTCAGTAAGCTAGTAATGTCTAACATTATTTTCAGAAATTGATTACAATATTCAGTTAGTTATCGATCACTTAACAATGTGGGATCCTTACATGCATATTTGGAAAGTAGACAAAGACGAATTTTTAGAAAACTATCGATCTGAAAAGCATACTGCAGAAGAATTTGATGAACTTATTATAAACTACAGTAATCTTGCTAACTCTATTCAAATTCAAGAAACTATCAATCAGGTAGATGTAACAAAACCAATATACTTATCTATATGTTCTTATTTAAATCAAGGATCATTAACAAATGTTACTTGTTTTTTATCTAGATTCATTTCATAACTCTCAACTCAAGTGAGTTAAAGAAGTCTATCATATCTCACTGCATTGTTTGGCAAACCAAGTTAGGAGAATTATTACGAAGTATTACTGAGGCTGATATTGATGTAGTCTACAATTACGTCGAAAAGAGCAGTGAAGAAGCTATGAAGGTTTGTATAATGATTTTGATCATATTGTGATAACTTGACTCTTGATGTATTGGAATGTTTTTTAAATTGGTTTGTATCACTGTGCCGTTTTTAATGATCAAAGCTGCAGTAATATTTTCACGATTAAGGTACCTCAAGATTTAAAGGAGCTCCAAGAAAGTATTGAAACTTATGATCGTTTGATATCAGAAATATCACAAATGGAAAAAACTTTCCCTCCCATATCTGATCAAATGGTGACATTGGGTAAGATCTTAGTAATTTTTCGTATGACTGTAATTCTTACAATAAAAGCAAATGCACTTATTTTTATTTGTACTTATCACTTTAGTTAAATTCGAGGTCGAACTCAGTTCTGATATGACAACTCGTCATGAAAATATACCGGTGCTATGGGAAGGATATTTGGGTGTCTTGGAAGAAGCTAAAAAGAATCTCGAAGCAAATAAAGAAAAATTCAAAACGGGCCTATTGGATCAAGCTGAAGTAAGAGCCGTTGTATTTTAGATTATTTCCAAATAATTTGAATACAATTATAAAATTGTTGTACACTGGTTTTTAATCGCATCGTCTGAATAATATATTACTCAGATATTTAAAGAAGCGGCTAAAGAGTTCTGCGAAGAATTCTATAAGACAGCACCAATTACTTCTGATATTAGTGGCAAGGACGCTCTGGCCCAATTGAAAGCTTTTAGGGAACAACTAAATGCATTACGTGCACAAGAACAAGCCATACGTGATGGCCTTGCTGTATTCAATTTAACGTAATTGGTTTTTATGATTATCTTTATAAATAGAGCTTAACTAACATATTTGAATTTGTTTCCATTATTGTTTCATTCATTATTGTAGTAAAAACATGTTCTGTGCAAATGACCTAATTAGAAGTGTAGCAAACAATTAGTTGTTTTTTTTATTTCATTCAGTATTAATAGCTATAGTTCGGGATTCTCAAAATGTAATTTTATTCTCAGTACACCAGTGAATCTGGATCTTCTGAAGATGGAGAAGGAATTGGAGAAGCTGGAAGAAGTTTGGGGCTTGGTAAATCAGTGGGAAGAGTCCTGGGAAAAATATAAAACTCAAACGTTTTGGGAAATGGAGACTGATGAAATGGAAGAAAATGTCATGTTTTTGTTCAGGTAAAGTTTTTATCAATTTTCAAATAGTCTCTGAATATCAGGTTTTAAAATATTACTGACCGAGCATAGAATTATGTATTCGTAGTTCGTAATGTCGTTATTCATCATAAGTAACTCAATACCAATTTCCAGGAATTTTAATAAACTGTCGCGACAGTTAAAAGACAGAAATTGGGAAATCATTGACACGACAAGAGTTAAAGTTGACGCGTTCAGAAGAACTTTACCTCTAATAGGTGATTTAAAGAATCCCTGCATGAGGGAGCGCCATTGGGATAGAATTAAGGCACTCATGGGCGTGTAAGTAGTTTGTGATATTTTATGCTATGGTGGATCTACATTTGACAAATGGACCACCGAGGTGTAGCTCCCGTTTGGTAGCGTCCATTATCAACTTGTGTGAGCAGCTAAGAACGCTTAATTATATAAGTATTTATATGATGATAACATCTTCTTTTTAATTTGGAACATGAGTATAATAGATACGACATAAATAAGAATAAATTAGTGTGTTAACAAAATAAAACCTTTTTTATTTTTCATCTTTTGTACATACACAGCGAGTTTGACCAAAACTCAGAGGATTTCAAATTGGATTTGATCATGAAACTGAATTTCCAAGCTTATGCTGAAGAAATAGCAGAAATCTCTAATGCTGCTACTATGGAACTTAACATTGAGAATGGGCTTAAAGCGATCAGAGAAGTTTGGAAAAGTACCAAATTCGAGATGCAACATCACAGAGGAGATATTTATAAAATTAAAACTGTAGACGATGTTATGCAGGTTCGTTGTAATGATTGATGCTACGTTCAGCTAATTTTTTACAGTTTAATTTTATTTAAATTGTTAGTTATTTATGCATTTGAAAACTTAACCATTTCCTAGTTTCTTGAAGACCATCAAGTGCAGCTCTCGTCAATGAAATCGACAAAATATGTTGAACCGTTTATTAAAGAAGTAGATTACTGGGAAAAGTCTTTGGGATATATAGCTGAGTGTATTGAGGTACTTACAATTCTTCTTGGGTTTGAATTTTTATCATATATCTTAGAGTTTTCAAATATAGTTTAGCAATGGTTTCTTGAAACAGATTTCTTTACAAGTTCAACGGCGTTACCTTTACTTAGAAACTATTTTCATTGGTGAAGATATAAGAAAGCAACTGCCAGCAGAAGTTTTAATATTTGATGCACTTACTTCTGATTGGACAGAAGTTACAAAGAGGTGAGCCTTGAATGCTAGTCAATTATTATTTACTGAAGATCATTAATGAGTCAATGTAATTTGAAAAACTTGTTTACTTGATTAACAGCATGCATGCTGGGAAAAATGCAGTAGAAGCTTGCATATACAAGCCACAGCCTTACTTATTTAATAAATTGAACCAAATGGTGGACAATTTGGATGGTATTCTGCGAGCATTAGAAAAATATCTAGAGACAAAGCGTCAACTTTTTCCAAGGTTTTATTTTATATCCAATGATGATATGTTGGAAATTCTTGGAAATTCAAAGAAACCATCTCTAATACAAGTGCATTTGAAAAAGTTATTTGATAATGTGACTAGAATAAGGATTGATAAGGTAACTAGATGACATGAAATCATTAGTATATTTATGTTAATTAAGTCATTTGTTTTGTTAGAATTATTAGTCAATTTAAATGTAATGTATATAGGTGTGTTTTTAGTTTTTAGTTTCGATGTAAGCTGTTTGAAATTGTAAGAACATTTAAAGGTAGTTTTTTAGATGAAGTAAATATTTTCAACGAAATCTGACAACACCAAATACTTAATGTCAAAACAAATCACATTGAAAAAATTATAAGTTTTGTTGTTATTGTTGTGATATTTGCTGTGACGTGCTGTTTATGAACAACTATCTCTTTAAATAAACCTGGTGTAGACGTTCCTTATTGTATAATCAAAAATTTTACAATTAAAATCTGAAATGGAAGAAATATTAGAGAAATGTCATTTTGTGCCCATGAGTACTATGGTAAGTAATAGATACTTATTATTACTTTTTGTGAAAACAAAAATTTTTTAGGTATTTATACAAAGTAACGTAGCACTTAATGCCCATATTTTTTCAAACGAAAGTTAGGACTAGAATGTTTATTTAGTCTGGTTTTTTTTTATTCTAACCTTAGATATTTACAAACACCTATTTTCAGAAAAAGGTCATAGATTTTATAGAGAGTCCAATGATGTTTGATCCAATCAAGATATATTGTAAAAGAAACTTACTGAAGCTACAGCAGAGTAGAAATAATTCCAAGTATCAGGACAAGGATCTGAAGACATTCAAATCAGTACATCGGATAGCTTGTTGCAAGGCTATATACTCACATAATTGGAACAAACTTCTATATTTGCTGAAGAAATGCCCTCCCTGGGAACATAACTGGAAAGATGTCAATGAAGCTGCTCTGTATACTAGGGTAAGTTTTGATAAACTATATTTCTTATAGTATCTAAAATAATATGAGCAGATGGTAAGCAATCGGCACCACCCATTGACACCTGGAACACCAGAGGCGTTCCAAGTGCATTACCGGCCTTCTGGATTAGAAATTTGAGGATTGTTGGGGATTCAGGGATTGGGGAAAGGGGGCCTCTGGTAACCTCACTTACAAGACGAAACACAACACAACATTGTTTCACGTCGGTCTTCAGTGAGGCCATGGTATCACGTTTGGTCGTGCCGGCCCATTCATGTCAAAGCATGGCTCTCCCGCACTTTTTATTGTATTTCCTAAACAGTCTGATAATGTCACACGGAAAGTTTATATGTTACTTGTACTATTCCAGGCTCTGGTTATCCTCATCATGTACCACCCAACTTCACAAGCACTGGGACTTTTAAATGAATACCTCCACTTAGTCTGGTCATGTCGTTCAGATGAAGTGAAGAAAGCTGTCCTCAAGATATTACTGACATTACCTGAGAAAATACATGGTGTAACTAACAGTAGATATAAAGATACTGACAAAGAATAATGAGGTTTTTTTACAGAGGTATAAGGTGTATGTTTCTATAAGTTTCCATAAGAAATTGACTGAATAGTATTTTGTTGGTACTAGTTGTATACATATAAGTAAAACTGATTATTGTTATTTTAATAAATGATTCCTGTTTATATTATATACAATGTGGTATTTTATATTTTAATATGCATTGCCTATTTTTTTTATATTTACTGGTTGTTTTTATGGTGGTCTGTATAATGGTTTTGAATTATTTTACATTTAACCTGATAAATACCATGCCAGTTAAGTTACGAGTTTAAAACTCTTATTATTTCTTTTATGCTGAATCATAATATCTAGCTGTTAGACTTGCAGTCAGTGTTGTTGCAGTTTTAGGGCCGACTTTTCCAACACCAGCCAAATATACGAGAAATAATTTGAATACTTGACAATTTATTCTTCCATACTAAAAACTTACTTACTTTAAATTCTCTTTCTCTCCTGCCGTCACCTGTTATATCTCTCTTTGACTTCAGTCAGTTTGCCGAGGGGGATGTTAGAAGGAGCATCTTGTCGTCTACTTCCAATGCCGTTGGTAGTGACTGCGTTAGCCGTAAGATGCTTATCCCTATCCTTGATGAAATTATTCCTGTAATTCTTTTCGTCCTTAACTCTTCAATCACCGACAGAACTTTCCCCCAAAGTTGGAAAGAAGCTCACATAATCCCGCTACCCAAAAAATCCAATCCCACTTCCTTTACCGATTTTCGTCCCATATCCATCCTCCCATTTTTATCCAAAATCCTAGAGAAGCTGGTCCACCAACAAATCAGCAGGTTCCTATCCCAGCATAGCCTCCTAAGTCCCTTCCAATCTGGGTTTCGGCCAGGGCACAGTACTACAACGGCTCTTGTTAATATAACAGACGATATCCGGTCAGGCATGGAGTCAGGAAAGTTAACGGTCCTTGTACTCCTAGATTTCAGTAACGCCTTTAACACCGTTGACTTTGACTTACTGCTTGGCGTGCTCAGCTCCTATGGCATGTCCCCGTCGGTAATTGACTGGTTTCATAGTTACCTGTTCGGCCGCCGTCAGCGTATTCACCTTGAGGATTCTAGGTCTTCATGGTGTTCCACTGCTGCCGGCGTACCTCAGGGTGGCGTTTTATCTCCTCTTCTCTTCACATTATTCATTAATTCTATTTCTCAAGGTCTATCTTCTTCCTACCACCTTTACGCAGATGATCTTCAGATCTACACTCAGGCCTCTCTTGAAGATTTACCAGGCGCCATTAGATTAATTAACGACGATATGGCACGAATAGGTGACTGGAGTTCCAAATTTGGGTTACTAGTAAATCCATCAAAAACGCAGGTGACTATCATTGGTAGTGCGCGTACCGTCTCCAAAATGAATTGGACAAGTCTTCCCCAAGTTTCTTTTCTAAATACAAAAATTCCTTTCTCCCGCGATGTTAAGAACTTGGGGATTTACATTGACAGTAACCTCTCCTGGAATAAGCAATTGCAGGTGGTCAGTCGGAAATTGTTTGCTTCAGCGGGCTCCTTAAGGCGTCTTCGTAATTTCTTACCCACAAAAACCAAAATTGCACTTGCACAGTCTCTTCTTCTACCAATACTCGACTATGCTGATGTCAGCTATCTAGATCTCACCCAAGAACAATTGGACAAGCTTGAGCGCCTTCAAAACCTTTCTATCAGATTTATATTTGGTTTGCGCAAGTATGATCATGTTTCTGAATTTCGTAGTAAGCTCAGATGGCTGCCTATCCGCCTTCGCCGGAACGCTCATATCCTTTCGTTACTATTTAATGTACTTTTTAATCCTGCTGCCCCTTTCTATTTAAAGGAACGTTTCCAGTTCCTGGGTGTCACACATTCGAAGTTCCTGAGATCATCGGAGAATCTTAAGCTCAGCATTTGTAAGCACTCCACTTGCTTTTATGACAAGTCTTTCACAATACAAGCGGCTCGGTTGTGGAATGCGCTGCCGGTGGAAGTGCGACGTGCTCAAACTCTGGGTCAGTTTAAGGGACGTGTGAAGGAACACTACCTGTCACTGTAGAAATGCTTTTGTCCTTTCATTATGGATAAACACATCACACACACACACACACACACACCACACACACACACATACTCATACACGTAACTATATATAGTTATCATTTTACATTTAAGTATATATTTATTACATAGTATTGCCATTTTTATCTTTTATGTATTATAATAAGTCTGTAAGTTTCATTGATTGTTTAATTTGTTTTTTATTGTTTTTCTTCTATTTTGGTTTTCTTTTATTGTGCATCTACCACCCATTCCCAGATTCTTTTCAAAAATTCCATCGAAAGGTTGTCTGGAAGAAATCGCCGCGTGCGATAAGACCGCCCATTGTACTCAAATTACTATTGAAATGCTTACAATTTTTCTATGTGTGCAATAAAGTATATATAAATAAATAAATAAATAAATAAAAACTGTAGTCGCGGAGAACCTAACGGGTTACCGTTATCCGGCTCGACGTGCAGGTGAAGGAACGGGGTGGTTTTTAGTCAGTAAGAGTCTGACACTCCCTCCCGTCTCACCCAGGCGGGAGAAGTCATTCGATGATTTTCCCCCTTAGAAAAAAAAACTAAAAACATGCTATTGTATTCTAGAGAGAATTAACTGATGATTGAAAAGATTGGCCCTTATCTATCTAAATAAAATGGAATTGCCGTTCGTTAGTCTCGCTAAAATTTGAAAACGGCTGAACCAATTTGGCTATTTTTTTCTTGAAATGTTTATGGAAAGCCATTAAAGGTTTAAAAGGTGAGAAAAATAATTTTTAGGCGGTACGAAGTTAGCCGGGACAGCTAATAAATTATTTATCAGTATATTTGCTCATAAAAATTATTTAATAGAAGAGGGGTGAATAAATGTTGGGAAAATATTCTAACATTTATTCACCTCATTCCTGTATCTATTCAACCCTAGATTTCTATTCACCCCGTTTAATACTTAAGTAAATCTGCTAATTTAAAATTGATAATTGAAACTGGCTGCTAATAGCTTGTACCCACCTGTTTTCCAGAACCCTATGGGTCTCCCAATAGCCAAGGCCATGACTTCAGAAGATGGAGAGTGTGTGGAATGGAAGTATAACCTTGTGTTGGACGGTCCTGCTGAAGCCTGGCTGCTAGGGTTAGAGCATACCATGAGGGTCGTGCTTAGAGATGTAAGCCTTTTCAATTTGGTTGTAGATATTTTGGTAGATAGTATAGAGTAGTAGACAGTGTATTAAATATGTAATTAGTCCATCAGTTGATAACGAAAAAATATTAGACACGTATTTTTTTATTTTGTCGTATAAGAAAACAATATTAATAAATTATTATGTTTTCGGCTTACTCACGTAATGATTTGACGAGAAACTCGACTAGTTTCAAGCCATGCTAGAGGCTCATATTCATGAGCAGCATTACGCGACCCGCGACGCGGCGATTGTCATCATTACGTCGTCTTCGTCAAATCATTACGTGAGTAAGCCGAAAACATAATAATTTATTTAGTATGTCTCACTAAAGTTACAATACAAAAACAATACCTAGATAAAATGGAGTTAAGTTTAGGAGTGAGAGGTCGTTACGTCACTATACCCTATAAAGTGTCGCGGAGAACCTAACGGGTAACCGGGGCTCCGACTCGACGTGCAGGAGAAGGAACGGGGTGGTTTTTAGTCAGTAAGAGTCTGACACTCCCTCCCGCCTCACCCAGGCGGGAGCAGTCATTCGATGATTTTCCTCCCTTAAAAAAAAACCCTATAAAGTGTTGTAAAGCGTGACGTCACACGTTATTTGAAATCAATACATCGTCGAAAGTATTTAATTTTGTAAGAAAAGAATACGTGTTTAATAATGTGGTCCAAATTAATCTACCAGACGGACAATTTAGTATACTACCCTAATGAAATGTGTCCGGTATATGGCAATATGCCCACCCCGTATTACATGGGACTCAGAACATAAATATTGAAAAGTGAGTGCTACCTCTGTATGCACCTCTCTGCCTATCCCTTCGGGGATAAAAGGCGTGATGTTATGTTATACTACCCTATTGTGGTAGTACCACAGTAATATTATATGATATTATTACCGTGGTAGTACTATCTACTATTATAGTAGCTATTGGCTAGGTACTTTTCATTCTGTACCCACATATTAAGTTTTTAAAGTCTTATAACCACTTGGCAAACTCAGGTGAAAGAGTGGTTAATTCGGTCGATCTGCTGTCCAACTGTCTTAGGTTTGATTTTATAATCGATCAAATATTCGTTACGTAATGGGGCGGAGTTTAGAACAGAGTACTTAATACGAGTTTGTGTTACTTTTAAAGTACGTAATCGAAAGGAGACCGCGTTCCGCAATCTGATTGGCCGGCTCCAATGAACAAACCAATTGGAGCATCGAACGCGGTCACCTCTAGATTACCTACTTTAAACGTTGAACAAACTCATACTAATGGCTCAGTTACGTTAAGTAACGTTGCTATCTGGTACTTTGTGGTGCCAAGTTTGGGTACTTCTTTATAATAGCTACGTAATGTAAAAAAATTGGGTTTCTAGCAACTGATATTGACGAGAGCGGCTCTGAGAAAGTGTAAGTACCAAAGAGAGACGTGGATCAACGACTGGCCAGGACAACTTGGGATCACTGCTAGCAAGGTTAGGTTACGTTTTTATATATCTACCTCATTTTATATCTATTTGAAGAAGGCTGTTCTGTTAGTATTGGTCGAGTCTGTATTTCCTGAAGGGTATATAATCTGGGTGTCTTCAAGCCCGAATGGGTATGAATAGGTTGCTTATGGAACGACGTGCTCTATCGTACACCGCATCATCATTTGCCACCAGGCGAGGTAGTAGTCAAACGTCGCGTCGGCCAATCAAATATAAAAAAATCAAAATGCGGGTTGGTATCTAAGGAATTACACCTACTTAAACCTATTTAATTAGTATTTATAATGTACCATATCCAGATTCAATGGACATCAGACTGCACACGGACGCTTTGTCGTTGCGAGATAATGAAAGAAAAGAAACCTCTAAAGAAATTACGCAAGAAACAGAATCAAATCCTCACCACGCTACAGATGATGTCGCGTAAAGAGATCAGCAAGATTTTGCGAGCTAAAGTCAATGCTCTGTGCGTCATTGAGATACATTCCAGAGATACTGTTGATAGGATGTATAAGATGGGTAAGTATTGAGTCCAGATTTCTATCGAGAATAGTTTTTGTACCTTAATGAAAGGGGCTAAAGATCTAGTTTAGGGTGGTAGGACACAGACCACCACAGATGGGTCCTAACAGGGCTGATGCCGATTCGGAGCCGCGGAAGACTTAACGGGTTGCCGGGGCCCCGGCTCGAAGTGCAGAAGTAGGAACGGGGTGGTTTTTAGTCAGTAAGAGTCTGACACTCCCTCCCGCCTCACCCGGGCGGGAGAAGTCATTGGATGATTTTCCCCCGTCAAAAAAAAAAAAACAAAATACGTGGTAGGAAAATTTTAACTTCTGTTCACATCGTCTGGTCCGTAGATTAATAGGTATTGCGTGTATTAGTACCTAAAGACAAAAAGGAACTCCTTAGAAATCCAGTTGTCTGGTTAAAGAAACTTATTCGTCGTTTCTTAGTCAACACCGCAGATAGGCTGCAAATGGAAGTATCACTATGGATCATTCATTTCATAAAGCAAGAAACGTCACAATATTTGGTTAAATAGCTAAGCAGTTAAACCATCCTATAAACTTTTTCGGTTACTGGAAATATGTTGGATGAAATAGAGCCCCTGCTCTGCAACGTGTGAAGATTCGTCATCCCTAAATTGACGTGCCAATTACTTATAGAAATGTATATTGAGTTCTTAGGAGTGTCATCAAACAATTTTTTACTTTTTTATGGCATAAGCAGGTAAACGAGCAGATGGTAAGCAATCGGCGCTGCCCATGGACACCCAAAACACCAGACGTGATGCAAGAAGGTTTCCGGCCATTTGGGGATTAGGAATTTGAGGGTAGTTAGGGATTTGAGCATCTCCCCAATCCCCGAATCCCAACTGTACTCCAATTACAACAGGGGTTTACAGTTGACCTGATGGTAAGCGGTCACTACCGTCTCAGTACACGTGCAGGATGATTCTTTATATAGGATTTTCGGAAAACCATCCTGTTAATTAGATGTTAGACTGTTAGAGATACTAATGCGTTGTTGGTTTAGGATCATAGTACTCCGTACCGTCAATGGCACGCGTGACAATGGTGCACCATCCCTTCAATAAAGTTTTTTTTTTAAGGAGGGAATATCATCGAATGACTACTCCCGCCTAGGTGAGGCGGGAGGGAGTGTCAATAGAGAGTAGGTAGTATATTTTGACATCTTGCATTTAAAACAGGATGTATGAATGTGACCGCGTTCGAGTGGTTCTCGCAGCTGAAGTTCTACTGGGACCGAGAGCGAGAGGACTGTTACATCAAACAGACCAACACCAACTCCATTTACACGTATGAATATATCGGCAACTCGGGGCGGCTCGTCATCACGCCGCTTACAGACAGGTGATAAAACATAGCGTTGGAGATATCCAGAGATATAGATACAGGTGCAGGTAGTATAGATACCGCCTACTTATGCGCATACTTGTGCCAAATATATTTGTGAATTAAATACCATATTTTGAAATAGTGTAGTAGACGGTGTATGGAAATTAAAAATGTAATTAGTCCGTCAGTTAGATTATGATATAATATTAGGCACATATATTTTTATTTCGTCGTATAAGAAAACCATACTTCTAGATAAAACGGAGTTAAGTTTAGGAGTGGGAGGTCGTTACGTCACTCTACCCTATAAAATGTAGTAAATGATGACGTCACACGATATTACAAATCAATGTATCGTCAAAAGTATTTAATTTTGTATGAAAGGAAAACATTAGTTTTAAAATAATCTACCAGACAGATGTTAAAAAGAAAATTAGTCTACTACCCCATAGAAACTAGGTATTATGTAGATATATATTTTATATATGACCCTGGAAGTCTGTCATTGTCTCTACCATTATCTTATGCCAAAATCGACCCTCTACGGCGCCCCTGTTTGGGCGCCAAACCTGTTGCGGCGTCAAGCTCGGAAGCTGCTAATGGCACAGAGGGTCATGGCGATCCGAATGATCCGCGGATACCGCACGATCTCTGGGGAGTCGGCGAACCTCCTTGCCGGATTACCGCCGTGGGATCTGGAGGCGAAGGTGCTCGCGCGCGTGTACAGCATGCGCGCGGAGGCACGTCGCCGGGGCGAAACCCCGCTGCCGCGCCAGATAGGTGCGTGGCGGGATGAGCTCCGGCGCGATCTCATGGCGGAATGGCAGCAACGACTGTCGCAACCGAGGGCTGGGCTCGCTGCCATCGCAGCGGTAAGTCCCCTCTTTGAGGAGTGGCTTGAGAGACGCTACGGCGTCCTCACCTACCGCCTGACGCAGGTCCTCACCGGACATGGAAGTTTCGGGAGGTACCTGTGTCTGATGGGGCGGGAGGAAACGCCCGGGTGTCATCACTGCGAGGACCGCCCTGAGGACACGGTGGAACACACGGTGGGAGAATGCCCTTCGTGGGCTGAGCACCGCCGTGTCCTCAGGGAAGTGATCGGCGATGGCGACCTCTCGCGTCCGGGCCTAGTGCAGGCCATGATGCGGAGCGAGGGGGATTGGGATGCCGTCTCCTCCTTTTGCGAAGCAGTCATGCTAGCTAAGGAGGAGGCGGGACGCGTGAGGCAGCGAAGCGCTGCCTCCTCGCAACCCAGCCATCGCGAAGGACACACCGGGCGTCGGGGATCGCGGGACGATCTCCGGCCACCGTAAGCGCGGGCCTGCGGACGGCGAGCATGGGTGGCTCCCCGTCCGACCAGAAACAGACCCGAGCGTACGGCGCGTCGCGTTCCGCGCGCGCCTCAAAGAGCCATCAGACCACCACAGATGGGGCCCAATAGGGCCGATGCCGATTCGGAGTCGCGGAGAACCTAACGGGTAACCGGGGCTCCGGCTCGACGTGCAGGAGAAGGAACGGGGTGGTTTTTAGTCAGTAAGAGTCTGACACTCCCTCCCGCCTCACCCAGGCGGGGGCAGTCATTCGATGATTTTCCCCCCTTAAAAAAAAAAAAAAAAAAATGCCAAAATCGAGTCATTGATTCTGGCACAGGTAACTTACTCTTTCGTTTAACGTCAATCAATATCTATGAGGCGTTTTCTCATCGAATTTACTATCTATTATCAACAGATGCTATATAACGCTAACGACAGCACTGCATTTGTTCCGTGGTGGAAGCCCTCAAGGTCCCGCCGGTACTGGCAAGACCGAGACGGTGAAGGACCTGGGCAGAGCCCTAGCCAGATGGGTGGTCGTCACCAACTGCTCAGACGGACTCGATTATAAGTCCATGGCTAAGTGCTTTGCTGGTAAATGCAATTCTGATGGTTCTGTATTTTGTATTATCTTTGTTGATTTACGAATATACATATATATACAAGGTGTTGTTTTAAAGCCGTATCATTTTCTAGGAGGTAATTTGGCTACCGATTCTGAGTCTGAATCAATAAAAAAAAAATCTACTTAAATATTTTTCATTTTTCTGTAAATTACGGATATCCGTAATTGCAAACTACACGCCGCCGTCTTCTAACTGGCTTTATAACGTGACTTAACACACATAAATTCAAACGCGTAATTGATATTATTCCTAATTCCATAAAACTCCAATAAGAAACATTACTGTCGCTTATTCTGAAATACTGTCGAACTTAAACGATTTATACTATAGCCGTATTTTAACTATTAGCTCGAAACTCTCTTTTACATTGAACCTTTATGAATTCTGTTACATGCCGAAAATGACATGACACGGTTTCAAAACTACACCTTGTATATTGAGTCTACATATTGAGTCATAGGCAGAGGTGCACATTACGGCGCATAACCCCTCGAGCGTCCTTATGAGCACCCGCTACTACCCTTAACTACTACCCACGTTTCACTATTCATGTATTGAGTCTCATGGAATAAGGGGTGGGTCTATTTCCAATACCGGACACAATTCCAGACTCCGTGCTACTACTGAAAATAAAAAAAATACCAGTAATACTTTGCCGGGTGTTCGGCAGTTATTATAGTTGTGTTAAAATAAAAAAATAAGCAAAATAGTAGCTACGTTCATTTTGTAAGAACGAGAGACGCCAAGGAAATGATACTGAAAATTGAATTATATTTATTAAAAACTAAAGTGGCAATGGACAGGTCATACGATAAGAGGCTCCGAAAAATGGAACAAAAGCATAGTGTTTTGGCCTGGCCTCACTGATTCGACGCTCAATCCTGCGCTGCCAGGCAGGTACTGCTGGTTTCGGTCGGACTGCTGTATCAAGATTCGGAAATCTGACGTTAGCTACTGGACAAGCTGCCACCGCCCCACAGTACAGGATTGAGTGTGTATCAGAAAGAGTTTCACTACTGTCAAAATATTCTTTCAGTTGTGAATTCAGGGCACACACCAGCGCTCTATTTTTTTTACACATGGGCAAACGTGGTAATTTTGGTTTACATTCATTAGGAGCGAATCTATACTCACGAATCGCATCCTCCACAGCATTCCTCAATCGTTCATTGCACTGAGTACTTACTTCGTCAACCCTATCGTCCGCCATTCTAACCACGGGAGTGATCTGTATCACATTTTGTGACACAGTCGGTGTCTGTGTCCTCAATTGTGGTGTTAGCAACGTATTAGCTTACATTGTTAGAAAAAAATATCCTAATCCAAATTCCAGGTATTGCCCAAAGCGGTTGCTGGGGTTGTTTCGACGAGTTCAACCGCATCAACATCGAGGTACTGTCGGTAGTGGCGCAGCAGATCCTGGCCGTACTGCTCGCTCTCTCACTCTTCCAGAAGCGGTTCATGTTTGAAGGGAACGACATCAAAATCGACGCCAACTGTGGCATCTTCATTACTATGAACCCTGGGTTTGTTGATTTAAAAATTAGTTCATGATGATTGTTGCCAGATATAGTGAAAGACTCATTGTACGACCTCACTCTGTCGTCATGCATACTACTGATGGTAATTATGAGCCCTCATCTTAGCTTGAAACTAGTCGATCAACCTCCTACTATTCAACAAATTGTGCCATTTCTATTTTTCGGTAATTTACGAGCAATGACACGTAAACAGCAAACTAAAACCTATGTACCTCACGCTTTTAAGGCTTTTAAGGATTACATGAAATATAAATAATTAAAATTGTTCGCAGTTAAGACTACTTACTACTCTTCTCTAGGACCTTGGGGCTTACTCTTGAATCCAATTCCGATCGATCGATATTGACATTGTGAAATTTTGTACTCTTGAGTTGTAACACTAGCGCCCATTGCATTCGTATTGCGTGGATATTGAACGAACTAAATGGTATTTAGTTTGGCTTTATATTCCGTACCCTGAATGCTATTTTCACAGCTACGATAGGGGTTGTATAGTATTGACATTGAGTAATTATTGAGATTTTATTGGATTGAAATTGCATTGACATTGAGATTGGTTTCAAGAGTAAGCGCCCTTAGCTAAAATAAGATTTGTTATGTACCTAATCCCTTTTCTACAGAGTAGTTGAGTACAACAGTAGCAATATACCTAACTGCATTTTTCTTTGTTTAATAAATATTTGTCGTAATTAGTTACGCGGGTCGTACGGAGTTGCCAGACAACTTGAAGTCCATGTTCCGCCCGATCGCGATGTGCGTGCCGGACTCACTGATCATCGCTGAGAACACTCTTTTCTCTGACGGGTTCACTGCTTACAAAATCAATGCTAAGAAGGTACATGTTTAACGCTTAGAACATAGAGTCTATTTCTCAATAAGTAGATATATTTTATTTATTTTATTGCAAAATGTATATACATAGTGCTATTATACTACATATATAGGTAAGTTACTGGAGTGATTCGGAAAGCACCCTCCATTGTCGAGCATACCTACACGAAGAGATGGATGTTTGGGCCGGTTCGACCAGTGATACCACGGCCTCACAGAAAACGGACGTGAAACAATACTTGTGCTGTAATTCTTCGTGAGTGAGGTTATCGGTGGCCTAATTACATCCCCAATCCCTGAACGCTCAACAATCCTCAAAAGGCCAGTAATGCACTTGTAACGCCTCGGGTCTTCCGAGTGTCCATGGGCGATGCTCGTTTACCGGCTTATCCCATAAAAAATGTTAGAATCATTGTCATTTGGCAGTTCCTTACCTCTGAATCTTTTGGCCTTTTGGGGATTAGGAGTTTGCGGATCGTTGGGGATTCAGGAATTGGGGAGATTGGGGAAGGGGAGGGTAATTGGGCCTCCGGTAACCTCACTCACACGACGAAACACATCGCAAGCGTTGCTTCACGTCGGTTTTCTGCTCGGCCGTGGTACCACTCCGCTCGAGCCGGCCCATTCGTGCCGAAGCATGGCTCTCCCACACTTAAATTTCTACTACGACAAACGATATCTAAACAGCTTCCATCTTCTACCAAGTTTCCAACTTCCAGGTGTTCACTCTATATCAGCTAGCAATGCAGCAGCTCTCAAAACAAGAGCACTATGACTTTGGGCTCCGGTCCATGGTCGCACTATTGCGGTATGCTGGTATCAAGAGGAGGGCTTACCCTAACTTGCCTGAACAGGAGGTGGGTAGAAATGCCATATGGTTTAGAAAACTATAGTGACCATGTCCACTTAAAGACGTAAGTGTCGTAGGCAGATTTATAGTTGAAAGGGATTTTCCACTACTTACCTAAGTCCCATTATAGCAAAAAAAGCTAGCTTAAACTGCTTATATCACAGATACAAATCATGACTATGTATTGCCAAGAATTTATGAATTCGAAGAAATCGTAAAGGATTTTCGCGTGACACATAAATGAAAACCGAGAACTTATCCTTGACGTTTGTACATAACAAAGTTCTATATAGTCAAAGACCAAGAAATAATAGATTTTATCCGAACATAACATAACACATAACATCACGCCTTTTATCCCCGAAGGGGTAGGCAGAGGTGCACTTTATGCCACGGTACAATGTAACACCCACTTTTCACTATTTGTGTTATGAGTCCCATGTAATAGGGGGTGAGCCTATTGCCATATAACGGGCACATTTCCAGACTCCGAGCTACTACTGAGAATCTTTTTTTAAGAACCCAGTAATATATTTCCCGACCCGGGAATCGAACCCGAGACCCCTTGTCTGGTAATCGCACTCGCGACAACTCTGCCAACGACGCAGATTTTATACGAATTGCTCCTATAAAGCACATTTTTCTCATAGATGGTGATTCTAGCGATGAGAGACATGAATGTAGCTCGTCTCACAGCGAAGGACGTGCCTCTGTTCGACGGCATCATGCAGGACATTTTCCCTGACGTGGAGATCCCCACCCTGGACTACGAGCTGCTGGAGACTGCCATCACGGCTGAGATGAGGCTAGCTGGGCTCCAACCTGTTAGGGCAGCTCTGCATAAAGTTATACAGACTTACGAAACTAAGGTTGGCTCTTAGTGATAATATGGTGCAATTGATGTTGATAATATAATTGGTAATGTAACCATTTTCTAAAAAAGAGGTGCAGGTACGTTTTATGTAATGAAACATCAACTTTTCTCCAGCTCGTTTGAGTCCCATGATAAAACTAGTGGCATGCCCATTTCTATGCCCTAGGCGTTTGGTTTCATTTCGCAGATTCTTAGCAGAAATAAAAAAATTCCTTAATCGAAAAGCCTATCTTATATTCTCCAGATATCAACTCAATCAAAGCCCCGTGCTCAGCCATCACTTAAGTAGTTTAAAAAAATGCAGTCAAGAATATTGTAGGTATACTCAGTCAAAGGTTTTCAGTAGACCTTCTCCGATTTCCGTCCTTAACTTTTCAGAATTCCCGTCACTCGAGTATCCTCCTAGGCGATACGAACACAGCTAAGTCAGTATCCTGGAGGATGCTGGCTGCGACCCTGACTAGACTCAACAGGGAGAAGCAGCCAGGGTTCGAAGTAGTCCACACATTCCCCATGAACCCTAAGGCGCTGACTCTGGGAGAGTTGTACGGGGAGTATAACCTGGCTACTGGAGAGTGGAAGGATGGTGTACTGTCTTCTATCATGAGGACCACTTGTCAAGGTAAGTGAAGCTAAATTGTTTAGGACAAGATAGACAAGTCTTGGTGGAAATGGAATATGAAATTGCGACTGATGTCCTTATGGGTAGGTAATTAGAAGATTTCAACAGTTATATCCTCAACTGCAGATTTCATGCTTATCCGATATTTCGATGCTTTGTAGAGGTATATTTCGGAGAGAAAATTTGAGACTTCTTAGCCATGTCATAACTCTAAAAACCTACCCTATCTATCTAAAGTTGCCAAAAGCCTAGCAGTGGTGCACAATATGTATAGTGCACTTAATGCCACTGTACAATGTAACACTTTTCACTATTTAACTTATGAGTCTCATGTAATTGGGGATTAGCCTATTGCCATATACCGGGCACATTTCCAGACTCCGTGCTACTACTGAGAATTTTTTAAAACCGCAATACTACTTTGTCCGACCGGGAATCGAACCCGAGATCCCTTGCCTGGCAGTCGCACTTGCTACCGCTCGACCAACGAGGCAGTCATTTAAAAATCTGTCAGCATAAAAAACCCACTCCATCTATGTAACATTGCCAAAAGGAGAATGTTAACCATTCAATATAATTATAATCATTTAGATGATTCTCCGGATATGAAGTGGATTATATTCGACGGTCCAGTGGACGCTATATGGATAGAGAACCTCAACTCTGTGATGGACGACAACAAGCTGCTCACTCTGGTCAACAGCGAGAGAATATCTATGCCTTCACAGGTGAAGCAGTGCTCATAATAAAAATAGCTTCCTATTTAGGTACTGTTCAAAGAATAGGCTAGATGCCTAATTTTTATTTTAATGTCCGTCTGGTAGATTTCAAATCATTAGACACATATTTTTTATTTTCTTACAGAAACTAATACTTTCGACGATATATTGATTTGAAATGTCGCGTGACGTCTCTTCTATGCACATTTTATACGTAGAAATGACGTTTTAGCCCCCACTCCTAAAATTTGATTCGTTTTATCTAAGTATTGTTTTCTTATACGACAAAATAAAAAATTACGTGTCTAATATTTTTCATAACTAATAGTGTTTCATAACTTATGGACTAATTAGATTTTTAATTTTCATACCCTGTCATCATCCCTATTGTAGATAGCAGATGGCGTTTTAATCCTATAAAACTCTTGGAATTGTGCTTCCAATATCAAAAAGGTCACTGGAACAAATTCCAAACCCTTCTTCTCCAAAGCCTGTTTTTTATTGGGTTAGGCGAGAGGGTGTGTAAGACTCTACTAAAAACCACCCCGTTCCTTCTCCCGCACTTCGAGCCGGAGCCCCGGTTACCCGTTGGCCTAGGCTCCGTATAGGCTCCGTATCGGGCGTCAGCCCAACTTGGCCCCATCTGTTGTAGTCTGATGGCTCTTTGAGGCGCTCTTTATGGTGTTGCGGAACGACTATGGGCGACGCCGATTGTTTAATATCAGATGGTCCATCTGAAAGAAAGAAAGAAAATCCATTTATTTTGCTACAACACACAACAAGAATTTAGGAACACACAGTGCAAAAGGCTGGAGCTCAGGTTAATACCGTGGACCAGGCGCAGAGGCTCGAGCCCACGACTCCAATTTTCATCTTCTAGTTTACCTCCTAAAATACCTTTACAATTTACAATGAAAAGTAGACTTTATTAACTTTCTAGGTCACCTTACTAATTGAGACCTTGGACCTGGCGGTGGCGTCCCCAGCGACAGTATCACGTAACGGCATGGTGTACAATGACTACAAAGACTGGGGCTGGTGGCCTTACGTCAACTCTTGGCTCGAAACTATCGAGTCTCCTGAATATAGAGAGATGGTGAGTACCTGCTTATAATAATAGAGATATTATTTATTTAGTTATTTATTTTAATTCGGGTAACCAACAGCTATATTACAAAGAATAAAACTTCAGGATATGGTAATACAAAGCCAACTATAGGTTTCCACGGCTAGTTGGATGCCGCAACGAAATAAATCAGAATATATTAATAGAGAAGAAAAAACTCAGTTCAACAGTTTTTTTACACGCTGTTGAATTCCATTTACAGCTCCGTCGGTTCTTCCTGTCGATCCTGACGCCGATCCTGGAGCTGAAGCGCACGTCGCTGCAGGAGGGCGAGTCGGTCCGCGGGCAGGAGCTGACGGGCGTGCGCTGCATGTGCCGCCTGCTGGGCCGCCTGCCCGAGCCCGCGCCCGCGCTGCCCGACGAGCAGGCCGACATCGAGGGACTCACCAAGATGCGCTTCTTGTTTGCGTCAGTGACCTTCAAATTAACTCTTACATTTAGAACATGCCGTGCGTTGCATAAAGTCCATTTTTCCGTGATTTTATTTAAATCAAATCAACACATCCTAACAGGCTACACCCAATGCGATAATGTTGTCACTAAATATACAAACTCGTCGAGTACCGTCATTATAGACACAATTATAGAACAATATGTTGCGGTCACCGGTGCCCGCTTGGTGTTTGACAGTTTAAAATGAACATTGTCATAAGACCACCAAAATTACCACAGACATAACTACCAAAATTAAAAATATAATTCGTCCGTTAGTTAGACATAACATAACATCACGCCTTTTTATCCCCGAAGGGGTAGGTAGAGGTGCACATTTCGACACTTAATGCCACTGTACAATGTAACACCCACTTTTCACTATTTATGTTATAAGTCCCATCATCCCAATAGAGTGAGCCTATTGCCATATACCGGGCACATTTCCAGACTCCGTGCTACTACTGAGGTTTTTAAAAAACCCAGTAATACTTTGCCCGACCCAGGAATCGAACCCGAGACCCCTTGCTCGGCAGTCGCACTTGCGACCACTAGGCCAACGTTAGTTAGACAATGAAAAAATATTAGACACGTATTTTTTTTCTCGTATTAAGTTCCAATACTTACTTAGATAAAATGGCGCTAAGTTTAGGAGTGGGAGGTCGTTACGTCATAACGTGTTACAAAATGTGGCACACTGTGACGTCAAACGATATTTCAAACTAATTTATCGTCGAAAGTATTTAATTTTGTGAAAAAAATACGTGTCTAAAGTTTTAAATTAATGTACCAGACGGACATCAAAATAAAATTAAGGAAACTACCCTATTGCTCTTATCTATCAAGTATGTAGAACTAACAAGTTACTTTAATTGGTTTTTGTTATCAACCGTTGTGACTGTAATAAATAAATAAACAACATCAGTCGTATACAAAGTATTTAGTTATTTTGTTCCTATTTTGATTGCAGATATCAAAAATCTACCCTCAAAACCATACATTATGTTTTTTCAAGTTACGTAGGTACAGTTAATAAATATCAACCATTTTAACTACTTACAGTACGATATGGTCAGTCTGTGCCACCTTGGAAGACGAGCCACGTCGCAGGCTAGACAACTGGATACGGGAACATGAAGGTATCTTCCCACTGAAGGACACGGTCTACGACTACTACGTAGACGAGAGACTAGCACAGTTCAAACCCTGGGAGGAGAAACTCCCGGACAATTGGAAATTTAATCCCAGGTCAGTATTAACACTATTTTAAATGTAATAAAAAAGAAATTATTTAGATACTGTAAAGTGAAAAATATTGAACAAAATATTTTGCGACCCTGCCAGGATTCGAACCTGGAATCTTCTGATCCGTAGTCAGACGCGTTATCCATTGCGCCACAGGGCCAGTTGTTAGTCATGTCGAAATAGAATATTGAATCACGAGTCTCAGCGTAGGTACCCATTTTGAAAATAAAAAAAGATACTCTTGAAAAGAAATACATGATAATTGTTATTTAATAGCATAACATAACATTACGCCTTTTGTCCCCGAAGCGGTAGGCAGAAGTGCACATTACGGCGTTTGATGCCACTGTACAATGTAACACTCACTTTTCACTATTTATGTTATGAGTCCCATGTAATAGGGGGTGAACCTATTGCCATATACCGGGTAATATCCCGAGCTTGGGCTTGAAATGAGGATTTTTTTTAAACCCAGTAATACTTTGCCCGACCCGGGAATCTAACCCGACACCCCTCGCCCAGTAGTCGCGTTTGTGACAACTCGGCCAACGAGGCAGTCATTTATTTCACACTTCATTAGTTTCTTGTAGGATGTGTATTGACTATGCCGATGTATATGTCCATAATAATTATTATAATTACATGAGGTTGTACATCCCGCGGAAGTGTGGTGGTCGAGGCTTATTAAATGATAAGACCCTTCACAACCGTGAGGTGTGCAGCCTCAGGGAATATTTCCTGAAAGTCAACGAGGGTATGCATCGAGAAGTAGCCGCAGTGGACAATGGATTCACTCCACTATCCTTGGCAAAAGAGAACTGGCGCAAACCTGTGGTACTGAGCGTCAATGATCGCAAGGAGGTATGGCATAGCAAGGAGCTCCACTGACGCTTCTTCCGGGCCCTTCATGGGCCCAGTGTAGATTTTCTAGCGTCCGTATCTTGGCTACGATTCAGTAATCTCTTTAGAGAAACTGAAGGATTTGTCTGTGCAATAATGGACGAAGTTATCCTTACGAATAACTATCGGAAATATGTAATTAAGGATGGGACGGTTGACATATGTCGGGCATGTCATAGTCCTGGTGAATCCATTAGACATAATTTCTGGTTGTGGTCGTTTGGCTAACAGCAAATATTTGCATAGGCATAATCAAGTAGCCAAGATTATCCATCAGCAACTTGCTTTACACTATCCACTTGTTGAATCTGAGGTACCGTACTACAAGTATGTGCCCGACCCAGTTCTGGAAAATGACCATATCACATTGTACTGGGACCGGTCTATCATTACTGACAGGACTATTGTAGCCAATAAACCTGACATAGTGGTGATAGACCGACAAGTACGCCGCACGATGGTAATCGATGTCACCATTCCCCATGACGAGAACCTCGTGAAAGCTGAGAAAGATAAACAAATAAAATATCTAGACTTAGCTCACGAGGTCGTCGACAGTGTGGATTCGGCTATCATTGTGCCGATAGTCGTGTCGGCCAATGGGTTAATCCCTAAAAGCCTCGACATCCATCTTAGCAGTTCTCCTAGAAACGGCACGTATCGTGAGGAGGTTTCTGTCTCTGGAGCCCTAACCACCGGTAGCTTGGACCATGCTCCCGCTACTGGTCGGCTCCTATTTTTTATATTTTTAAATATTATTTTTATTTTATAAGTAGTGTTTAAAAATGTAATTTATAGAGAATTTTAAATAAATATATGTAGATTATAATTATGTAAAATCGGTGTATAGAAGAATATAGAAATATACAAAAAATTCAAAAATATCCTTTTTCAATTTCCATTCAATTTTCCTTTCATTCAGCGCTGGTTTTCACACGATCCTGGTTCCCACTATGGAGTTCATTCGAGTCCAGATAATAGCGCTGGACATGTTGAAGGCCGGGTACGGAGTGCTCATAGGAGGACCCACTGGCACTGGGAAGACATTCCTTATACAGGGGACACTCAACAGCTTGGATCCTGAAAAGTAAGTTCATTATTTTATTTAATAATAATAATAAAGACATTTATTTGCAGTAATCATGGTATAAAAAGGTCTTAGGTTTACAATAGGTACAAACATGTTTATAGCTTATAAAACACATAACATAACATCACGCCTTTTATCCCCGAAGGGGTAGGCAGAGGGGCACATCATGCCACGGTACAAAGTAACAGT